TACCGACATTCAGCCCATCAAGTTAGATGTTAAGGATATACCAGCTTATTGCTCTAATGTAGAGGGAGAAAAAGATGGAAAGCCCTGGTATTATGACATCTTACAGTATATTAAGGATCAACAATACCCAGTTCAAGTAACAAAAAATGATAAAAAGGTCATCCGAAGATTGGCTATGAGCTTTTTCCTGGATGGGGATGTCTTGTACAAAAGAAATAAAGATCAAGTATTATTGAGGTGCGTAAATGAGACTGAAGCGAAGAAAATCATTAAAGAGGTGCATGATGGAATATGTGGGGCACATATTAGTGGACATATGATGACAAGGCAGATCATGAGAGCAGGATATTACTGGTTGACGATAAAGAATGATTGCATTGATTATGCTCGTAAATGCCATAAATACCAGATATATGCTAATAAGATTCATGCTCCGCCATCTGTTTTACATGTTACATTTTTTTATTTTTTATTTTTTGAATTTATTTATTTATTTGTTTATTTTTTATTTATTAGATTAGGTTTATTTAATATTCTTTTTATATTTATTTTATATTTATTTTTTTTACTTTCCTTTATTTTATTTTATTTTTTCTTTTCACTTTTATTTTTTTTTATTTTCTTTTTCCTTTAAAAATAAAATTTCAAAAAAAAGGATTTTTGAGAAAAAGTTGAAAGTATCAATTTTCCTTAAAAATAAAATTTCAAAAAAAAAAAGGTTTTTTTTTTGGAAAAGTTGAAAGTATCAATTTTCTTTAAAAATAAAATTTCAAAAAAACTTTTTTTGAGGAAAAGTTGAAAGTATCAATTTTTCTCGAAAATCAAAATTTTCAAAAATATTTTTGAGGAAAAGTTGAAAGTATCAATTTTCCTTGAAAATCAAAGTTTCCAAAAATATTTTTTAGAAAAGGTTGAAAGTATCAATTTTCCTTAAAAATTCAAATTTCCAAAAAAATATTTCTTAGGGAAAAGTTGAAAGTATCAATTTTTCCTGCACAAGAACAATCATCATTTCCTTTCTTTTTATTTTGATTTTGATTTTGATTTTTCTTTAAACAATCCGACGACGGAGCATCTGCAAGTAAAACAGTAGTTTTTCTTGCATACTCTTGAGGTGAGGGAATTTTTTCAATTTTTTGCTAAAAGTATTAGAGTCAATTGAGAATAATTTTCAATAATTAATTACTCGATAAAATTTTAAGGCTCATTAGATAACACAAATTTTAGTTGGTACCATCTTTTGATGGGCGTTGTGAGGGTGCTATAACCTTCCTCACACGTAACCGAACTCTCGAACCTTGTTCTAGTCAGTAGACCTGAACCTATTCTTTTAGGGACCCTTAAACTTAGGTGTTCTCTGAAAGGACAGATTCCTTAGGTGGTCAATCGTACCTAGATAAAAAAGATTGGTGGCAACTCCTCAAAGTCAATGTCTAGCGACAGATCTCCGGATCTAGACGTTATGACAGTTGGTATAATAGTTAAAAATAAATCTTATGTGCTATATTTTCATTGAAGGGTGTTCTAATTGAATTTTTATTCTCATTAGTAAAACTTATTATACATACATATATATATGTGTGTGTGTGTGTGGAGGGATCCACCATATTAATAATAAAAGTTATACACTTTTTATCATTAGACTAAACTTAAATCTATAACACTTACACTTAATCATTTTTATCTAAAAGTTATCAAAATTAGGTTTTTTGGCCTGTGCTTCGCACAATTAATCTTTTAAAAATAAAAAATAAACTAAATTTTTAAAAAATCAAAAAATAAAAATAAAAATCATGTTGAAGAAAAAATTATTATTAAAGACAAATAAAATGGTGAAACTTGTGAAAAAATAAAAGTGAAAAATTAGTAAAATTTATTTATATTCTTTATTTTTTAAAGATTTATTTTCAAATCATTAATTCATGAAATATGCATAAATTAAAATTAATATAATAAAGATTTGTGACTTTTCATCTTTGTACTATTAATTAAATTTAAGTGATTAGTAGAATATGAAAACTTTTTTAAATAAATATATTTTATATTTCTTTTTCTCTTCAAATATTTATTTTTAAATCATTAAATAAAGAAATATGAGAACTAGAAATGAAGAGAGATCTACTTAGACATGTATAAAACTAAATTAGTTTTAACCACTTATGTCTTTTTATACAATTTATATTTATTAATCCAATCATTGAATTTTGTGCTCCGTTTAAGTAAATCATGTATTGCCAAATTTCAAATAAATTTAAAATATTTGTTAATCGATTAGTGTGATAATAATAAAATTTTAATTATAAGTACATATTGAAAATGATATTACTCTTGTTTGAAATGATAAGAATATTAAATTAATTTAAAACTTTACGTTAATGATAGGTACAAGTAGATTATTAAATCTAACGGTCAATTTTAAAAAATATTTATCATTTATGATGTTGTAAAAGAGTGTAAAATAAATTAATTTTACAATTGCATAATTTGATCCCTTCATTGAAATTAATATAATATTTTATATGATTTTTCGTATCTCTATATTTTTTAAAATTCAACTATTAGTAAAACATGAATGATTTTTAAAATTAAATTGATTATGAAAAGATTGAAATTAATCTGATAATATTTATAGATTTTCTTTATCCTATCATTTTAATTTGTTTTGTTGATAGAAAATAATGAAAATTTTAAAAGTTAATTTAAATATTTTTCTCTTTTTTATATTTTAAAATCATTAATTACTAAAATATGAAAACATAAAAAAAATCTAACATTTCATATGTTACTTTTTATATTATTAATATAAAAAATAATTTTATAATAATTATTAAATGAGTATTATAACTAAATGTTTGAAATAATTTTTTTATGGTATTGAATAGCTAATTAAGTATCATAATTAAAAGATTAAAAATTAAAATAATCTTTATATATTTATATTAAATTAAAATAAATATAAAAAAATGCTAAACATGTTAAACATATTATATATATACTCGTATAATAAAATTAAATTAAATATGTTTTTCATGTTATATTATGTGTTAAATGTATATCTATGTGATTTTTTATTTAAACATGTTTTTCATATCTTATACATGTTTAAACGTGTCATCATATATAAGATATAAATTATGTCTTATCAAAATTCGTATCAATAATAATAAACACAAAACGTTATTTTTAAAACACTTATATAATTTTTTTTTTATAGTTTTCATATCATATCATCATGTTATATTCAAATTGTCAGATCTAAACTTTGCAAAGCAAGTCATGATATATAAATGAACTATTTTTGTTAACACAGCCAATTTGGTCTAGTTGAAATTTTTATAAGAAATGTTCCTGGAGTAGAGCTATTCTAAAAGTGTAATAACAAAAGTTAAAATAATGTTTAGAAAATTTAATATAAAAATATTATAAAATGTTGTAAAAACTATTTGATACTATTTTTATATATTTTTAATAAAAATAAAATAATCAACTTAATTAATAAATTAAATCACAAGTTTTTAGATAAAAATAAATAAAATAAAAAATATTTTTGTTAATTATAATAAAAAAACAAATAAATTTGATAAAAAATGAATAACATATAAAATAATAGAAAATAATATATCTTACTTATAATTTTGTAAATTATTGAAGAATAAAATGAAAATGTAAAATAATTCATTAATACTTTTTGAAGAAGTTTTCGATTTATAATTTTATCTAAAAATTTAAAATTACTGTTGCATAAATTAAATTTCTTAATATTTTGAAAATCAGCCTTCTACTCTTGCAATAATAAGTTCTTTTTATAAGCCATGTTAGCCAAAATGGTAATTTTGGAACCTTATTAGGAGTAGCATAAAAATTAAAAGGTCATTTATGTAAATTCAGAAAATAAATCATATCCTCAAATGACATAATATTTGTCGAGAAATTCTATTTGTACCACTGTTATTGTTCTATCCACTCTCACTTTTTTTGTAAAAAAAAAATTTTTTATAATTAAAAGTACTAAAATATCATTCTCATAAATTTTATAACTTTTGAAAATACACTTTGGAGAAGTTATTACACTTCTCGAAAATGCATTTTCAAGAGTAATAAAATTGAAATTTTATGAAAAAATACAAAAAAAATTTTTTATTACAATTATTTATAAATAAATGAAATAAAAAAATTATTATTATAGAAAGAATAATATCTTAATGAAACTTTAATTAAATTAAAGATAAAATAATAAGTATAATTTTTTTATAAATTTAAAATTTTTATTTTTTAATAAATATTTTTATATCAATTATTAAAATTTTATAATAAAATTTTTTGAAAAAATATCTTTATATACTTATTACAATGAATTTTTCTAATTAATATATTAAATTTTAATAAAATATTATCTTTTTATTCATAAGCATACAATGCTAGTTAAAAAAATCTTCAACTTTAAATTAATTTTAATTCTTTCAACACCCTTCCTAATGATTCTTAAATTCGTACAAGACCAAGGTCATGATAATGGTAATTTTTCTTTATTTTTCATACTCTTTGAAACATCATAAAATATCTTAACAAATATATAATCATTTTTTTTTTAGAGACATTTTGCACTTTTGAAATTAAAACAGTAAAATTATTTTTTTTTATTAATTTTAAAATTTATTATTTTTTATTATATTTATTTATAAATAATTTAAATAAAATTTTAAATAATTTTTTATAAAATTAATATTTTCAAAAATATATTTATGAGAATTGTTATAATTTTTCAAAAATTTTATTTTAAGAAGTATCATGAGTTTTCGAAAATGGTGAATATTAAAAAATTTGCAAAAATGATTTTTAAATAATTTTGCTTATAAAAATTTTCAAAAAAATGAAATGCGTAGAGCAAAAAGGGAATGCATTTAAAACTTCCCAAATTTGCCCTTTACGCTTCAGGATTTTGTCAACTTTATTTAAATTCCCCATTCTACCCCTTGACAATTCCTTTGTTTACTCCAACGGCAAGATCTGACCAAAGTGCGATCAAACAAGGAAATGTTCCTGTTTCTGCAGTTTTCACTTCCTCAGCGTCGCAAGACTTCAACAAAACAGTCCTTGGATCCTCCGTGGCTGTCTTTCTCTGTCTAAAAGGAGACGCCTCTTTTTGGTTTCACTTCCTCTCACTAAAACACCTCTAGTTCTCTGAGCGCTTTCCCTTTTCTTGAGCTCTTTCTGATTCTCTGCAAACCTTTTCTCTGTTATTAAACTGAGCTATCTTTAGAACCCAAATGTCAAAATTTTTTCTTTTTTGGGAATTTTTATGAAAATTGTTGCTTTTTATATCATAACAAAGTCATTTCACCATCAGAGATCCGTCTTTTGAGGGGGTAACAATGAAGTCTTCAACTCGGCTTGATTCAATGGTGTTCCAACTCACACCAACCCGAACCAGGTAATAATTTTCTCTGATTGTTAGCTAATTATTAGCTTGATAGAGGTAGTAAGCATGCTTATATTTTTATTATTTTGATAAAAAAAATTTCTTTTATTTTTTGTCTTATAGAGTTATGTTTTATCAGTTTGATTGTGTGCACTAATATATCTTTAAGATTTTGAATTTGGTATAGAGCTATGTAAGTGTTTTCATATAATCTTTGTAGATAGAATTTATTGGATTCTTCTTTATTTTCTTTAGGTGTGATTTGGTGATATCTGCAAATGGAAAGACAGAGAAAATGGTTTCAGGTTTGCTTAATCCATTTCTTGCCCATTTGAAGACTGCACAAGAGCAGTTGGCCAAGGGTGGTTATTCAATTATACTTCAACTAGACCCCAGCATTGATGCAACTTGGTTCACAAAAGGAACGGCGGAAAGGTTTGCACTCTTATTTGGTGCTTTTTTCTTACTGGGATTATTTTCTATATCATGAATATTGGATGAATCGTCTCCGTTGACCATTTAGTTGTTATTGCAGAAAGAAAAAATTGACATTGGAGCACTGTTTTTATGCTATGATGGTTGAGTCTGTCGTATCTATCAAGCTTGTTGTTGAAAATGGCTCTATGATAATTCTTTTTGTACCCCTTGAAATTGGCATGAGATACTATTTTGTTTTGGTTTTGGTTTTTGCAGGTTTGTTCGATTTGTGAGTACTCCACAGATCTTGGAACGGGTGTATACTGTCGAATCTGAAATTTTGCAGATTGAAGAGACTATTGCAATTCAAAGCAAAAACAATATAGGATTGAGTGCTGTAAGTAAAATTTTTAGGAGTTCTATTATATGTATACCATAGAGATTAATTATACTTGGTTTTTTTTTTTTTTCTGCAGGTAGAAGAACGCCAAGCAAAACCTTTGGAAAGCATAGAAGGTACTGTTAATAACTTTTTTTTCTATGTTCTTCACTTCTAATTGGATTAGTGCCATTTTTAATATAATGATGGATGCAGTTTTTGATTAAAAAGTCATACTATTCATATTTTCTGGTCATCTTGTATCTTTGTATTGCTGTCATACTATTTCATATTTTCTGGCATCTTGTATCTTTGTGTTCCTTTATCCATTCTGGAGTTACTATTCTGCTAATAAAGGCTATTAGTGTAGTGTCATGCATGTGCAAATCTTTCATTCCACAATTCTTTCATCATTAGTGCTGAAAATTTTTGCTTTCATTTTTTAGTTTTTATTTGTTCTTGTAAAACACCTGATGGCTTTGGACAGTCAGCAGGGCTACACCAGATTCCAACGAGGAGAAAGCCATTGTCCTTTACACCGTGAGTATTCACAAAATAATTCTTAGCATGTACTAAATCTCTTAATAATTTTTTTTAACTCTTTTTTTTTTTCATTTTTGGCAGCCTGGTGCACAGCCACCTGAAGTGAATGGGTCTGCTGTGCAAGAAGGAAATTCTAAGTATGTTGTTCTGTGGCTGCATGGATAATTTTTAATTGAGGATATTGTATTGCATATTGTTAATAGTTTTTAGCGGTCTCTTTGAATTTTGCATTGTTTGATGTATTTTTACATCCTTCTAGTTTCCTAGAAAGCCTTCACTTTAGTGAGAGAATCAGGGATTTCATGAATGCAATAACCTTATAATGTTAAATACCATTACAGGTCAGCATGTAAAATATCAAGGGGAAGTGCTGTGATACTAACACTGATCTGACAGACAAAACAAATAACTTATCCTTTTCATGTTCCTGGGGTTGCTTTACCTTCCAGCTGTATAATGTTTACATACTTAAAAACTTGGCTCACTTAACTATTTTACCTACTTACACTCAAGCTCGACTGAATTGTGGATGAGTTGAGTTTGAGTATTCTTGGAGACTGGAGTCAAGCCCAAGTAGCTTGCAATTAGGCTTGAGCAGCATATTAGATTCATCGCAGGTTACTTCAATGTTTTGCATAACTTTCTGTTGACTATTTTCTCTTTCACTATATGTATAGTCTGAATTATTTATAGCAAGGAGTTATAAGTCAAAAAGTGATCAAAATTTTTGTTTTTGATTAGCCAACTACTCAGGACAGTGGGCATTTCATAATTTGCAGAATCAAAGGTTGCTTTTCTTTCAAAGAAGAAAAAGCCAAAATGAATGAGACAAGTGGCACATTATGTCATGTTAACAATGAATAATATAGTGTTGAACATCATCTCTTTTTATATGTTTAATTTGTAGGAATAATCTTAAGGCCAGACATGACATATTGTTTTGACTTTTTACTAGAGTTAAACTTTTGAAAGTCCTGGAGACACGGAAGACAATGCTGCAGAAAGAGCAAGGTATGGCCTTTGCACGTGCTGTAGCTGCTGGTTTTGACATTGACCATGTAGCACCTTTGATATCATTTGCTGAGAGTTTTGGAGCCTCTCGTTTGAGGTATGTGGAATTCTCAAGCAGGCAACTTAGTTCTAGGCAACCTTATCTTTTATGGGTGATCACATGTATATTGATTGGGTGTTTTCTCCTTGATCAAAATTACCTGAGTTTAAAATGTCAGTTTTCCACCAATGAGACCCATTGGAGAATAACTTGTGCACCTGTGAATGGTCTCTTGCTTAAGTTCCTTTTTTTTCACTGAAGGGATGCTTGTGTAAAATTTACTCAATTATGGCAAAGAAAGCATGAAACTGGCCAGTGGCTTGAGATTGAAGCATCTGAAGCAATGTCTAGTCAATCTGATTTCTCTGCTATGAATGCATCTGGCATTGTGTTTTCCAATATGATCAATAAGCAGAAAGAGCTCAAGGAAGGAGGGCCTGAAATTTCAGTAAATAATGGAAAAGCTGGTGTTGAGTCAAGTACAGGTATTTGTTTTAGAGGTGTCCTCTACATAAAATGTTAGTCATCATTTTATCTATGTGACAAGGCACGTTGTTCTGATATGCTCTGAGTAACTCATCAATTTCCTTCTTGAAGATAAATTTTTGTTGTTTCCTACAGGTCACAGGTTACTTTAGTATTATTGCCATTTTCATAGAATGTGAATGCATATTTCTCTGTGCTGGTGATTTGTTGATACATCTTTCAGCATGTTCAGCACATATGTAATTATGTGCTTTAGTGTTTTCTCTGCTGGCCTTGCTTGTAGTGCATGAGATAGTCCTAATTTCCTGTGCTCATGTCTTTGCTTGCTGCTTTATAATTTAAAGGAGCCACTCAATTTTTTTAATGTCAAAAACATGGTCTTATTTACATTTCAAGGGAAGGTATTACTATTGTTTGGTTTTTGGTTTTTGGTTTTTTATTGCTTTCTTTTTTTTTTTTTTATTGTTTATAACTTGGTTGAGTTATTTATCAAGAGCTAAGTTTTTCCACTCCATTGTCCGACCACCCCATTTACTTAGGCTTGATCTCAGGACTTGCAAACTCTCACTATCAATGGCCACTTGTGTCATTACTTTGCTGGTTACAAGAAAGTTATCTGAGTTGGAATATCCTTGCTTTATGGCATTCATCCATTTGCTTTTCTCACCTCATTTGCAATTTTGCATGCTTGATAAATATTTTATTCATGCTTGCTACTTTCTCCTAATTATGAATTGAAATAAATAAAATTCCGATATGGCCAGATGAGAAGCCTCCAATTGATCAACAGACCCCTGACCATCAAGAATATTACAAGGGCCAGTTTCCACATCCAATGTTTCCTCCCTGGCATAAACATTCTCCACCAGGTGATGTGCCAACCTTTCAAGGATATCCTATGCAAGGCATGCCCTACTACCCAAACCATCCAGGAGGTAGCCCCTTCTTTCAGCGACCTTATCCTTCAATGGAGGATCCAAGATTCAGTGTTGGTCAAAGAATACTGAAACGGCATTCAATGGATGGCAGAGATAGCCATAATGGATCGGATACTTGGGAGAGGGAGAGAGCAAAATCTCAACATGACGAGGAGTTGGAGAATGAAACTTCACTTAGTCCAAAATCAAGAAAGAAGAGTAGCAGGTCAGGTAAAAAGCAGTCAGGAATGGTGGTCATTCGGAACATCAATTATATCTCTTCAAAGAGGCAAAACTCTTCAGGTAGTGATTCATGGTTGCATTCTGGCTCTGAAATGGATGAGGATGATGGAGATACTGAGCATAAGAACTCTCTGAGATCCTCAAAGGGGAAAGGAAGTCAAATAAAGTCTGTTGATGGAATGAATTCATTTGATACGGAAGAAACTGTTCCTGGGAAGAAGATAGATGGTGGACAGTGGCAAGCATTTCAAAATTATTTACTTAGAGATGCTGTAGAGGAAGAACATAGGACCGACCAAGGCATGTTTTCAGTGGAAAAGGAGGTTCAAGGAAAGAGAAGGCCAAATGGAGTGGGTGAAGATCCTTTAGTTTTTGGTGGACGAAAAATGGGTCAATTCAAAGGAGGGAATAAAACTGACATGCATAAAATTAGTTCAAGTGGCTTTCGCATGCCTAAAGCATCAGATGATCAGTCTTTAATTTCTAGAAGAGGTGGTCACTCTGCTGATGGTAAGATTTTCATGGATGGTCAAATGGATTTAAATTCAACAGAAATAGATGGTAGGAGGGTGTATAGGAGAACCACAAATGATGACTTTATAATAGATAGACAACAGATTCAATCAGATTTTATGAATTCTCCATCAGATCCACTTGCTGTTAATGGGTTTGAACGTTCATCAGACAGTTTGGAAAGAAAATCATCAAATAATATAAATGATGATTCCTACATAGTTCCATTCAGGTCAACTTCAGTCACTCAAGTTGGAATTGATGATCGCAATGTTATCAATATGGATTCTGAGTTCTTGTCACTTCAGAAAGCTGAAAATATATCTGATAGGGTTGAAAGCCAGGTCAACTATGAACCAGATGATTTGAGTTTGATGCCTAATCGTGGAATGTTAGAAATGGGGTCAATAGGTTATGATCCTGCTTTGGATTACGAAATGCAGGTTCATGCTGTAGATGGTATTTCACTGGATAAGAAAAATAAAGAGAGCATGCTGGGGTCTAAAGAGTCAGACAAGGTCCGAAAATCAAAACTTATTGCTGATCCTTCAGATAAAAAGAAGGCTGTAGGGCCAATAAGGAAACGGAAACCTTCAAAACTGAGTCCTTTGGATGAAGCAAAAGCCCAGGCTGAGAGGCTAAGAACCTATAAAGCTGATCTTCAGAAAATGAAGAAGGAGAAGGTATGCTGCCTTTGGTGCGCACTGAATACTTTGAAAATGCTTACAGTACAACCTCGGCTCTTTTTACAGCTAGTGAATTCTATATTTTTTTTATTTGTTAATTCATTTTTCTTTTACACTTTTTCAGGAAGAGGCAGAGATTAGACGACTGGAAGCATTGAAGATGGAGAGACAAAAGAGAATCACTTCTAGAGGTAGCTCTGTTCCTGTTCAGTCATCTGTGGTTGCACAAAGCAGGAAACAATTGCCATCAAAACTTTCCCCAAGCTCTTATAAAGGATCAAAGTTTACTGATGCTGAGCCTGCATCATCATCGCCACTACAAAGATCCATCAGGACTGCTTCTGTGGGATCAGCTGATTCTCACAAAGCCTCCAAACCCAGCAAATTGAACACTGGAAGCCACTCCAGTGGAAATAGATCAAGCTGGTCAGTTTCATCACTTGGTGAACCGAAGAAAGACAATGGAGGTGTAACTCCTGATGCAAAGGCATCTACAGCAAGGATTAGAAGATTATCAGAGCCGAAAACAAGTAGCAGCCCACATGTTTCTTCAGTGAAGTCACGGAACTCTGAACCATCATCCAAGACAAAAGTATCTGGAGGGCCTGAAAGCAAAAAAATATCAGCAATTATGAACCATGATAAAAGTAAGATTGCATCTCTTCCAGAGCTCAAAATTAAAACAACTAAAGCCCCTGAGGTTACCCACTGCAAATCAGGAGGAAATGGAATAACTCAGAAGGTGAATGGAAGAATTTCTTCTATCACCGATGTTACTGAACCAAATAGGAACAAGGACAAAGTTTCACTTCATATTAATGGGGATGAAAGTACGGTAATTGAGAAAACCGTTGTGATGCTTGAATGTGAGAAGCCCTCCATACCCACATTAAACTCATCAGAAGGAACTGCAGCAGTACAGGAGGAAAATGATGGCATCTTTAAAATAGGGAGGAAAACTGAGATGGTGTCAGATTATGCTGTCATTCATGCACCAGTTTCTTCACTGAATGTTGATGCAGTTGATAAAGAACACCAGATACAGCAAAGACCACAAGCTTATGAGGTAGGGTTCATAAGAACTTGATTAAAAATGGGTAACTTTTTTTTAATTAATGCAGTCTAGAGTTTTGTAGTTCTACTTGGGCAGGAATATTGAAAGCAAATCACCGGTTCCGATATATTCCTAATTATCATTGCTGGTTTGTTACAATAGTCAGGGTGCTCAATTGTATCTCTATCCTCAACAAACTTTGAATTATTTTGATAATTCAAACATTTTCTAGGTCATCTTTTATCGTTTATCACATCACACCATAAGTAGAAGACTGGCCATCCTTGCATAGAGCTCATTGAAACCTTTTTTAGCGGTTTTTACTCAAATAATCCTATAGGAGTTCCCTTATTAAATTGAAAATTTATTCTCAATTAATTACATAGTGATCTCAGTTTGATGCCAAATTGTTGAAAGAATCTGTTTTAATGAACTTTATCTTTCATCTTAACCAGAAAATAAATATTTCATGTGTCTCTGAACGTGAGTCTTCTTGATAATATGATGTACAAATTTCCAGGTTCAAAAGGGAAATGTGAGTAACACTGAGAAGGAATCATCAAAATTTATGAGCTCAAGTGTTACTGAAAAACCTTATCAAGTCCCTTTTGCTCGGATCTCTTCTTTGGAAGATCCATGTACTGAAATTTCAGAGTATGGCAGAGCACCTCCAACTAGCATTCAGGCTGCAGCAACAGAGTTGGAGAGTATTATAGCTCTTGTGGTCGATTCTAAGAACTTGAAATTAGAAAATATTCCTGAAGTGTTGGATAAGTCTCAGGTAAAGGAGTCATCCAAAGGATTTCGACAGCTGTTGAAGTTTAGAAGAAAGAATCATAGCTCAGCTACAAGCAAACATGGTATCAGATCAGACAGTGTTGGTGTTAATGGTTCTAAGGCTGGTGAGTTGGTTGCAAACACTTCTTCTTCTACTGAAGGTAATTGCATTGTATTTCATCCCTTCTGCACATTGATGGATAGTGAGATACAAAATGCATGACTATTTCAGGATCTGATACACTGCTTCTTGTTAATTACGTTTTAAAAGATACATATAATTTGAAATCAGTATTGTTTGCATCAAATGAACTATTGGGTACTTTAACTTTTGGGAATTGTTGTCCTACATATTTTGTTCGTTGCAGGCTAAGTCATGAGCTCCACCTGCAAATCTGTCTTTTGATACACTTAGATCATTTAAAAGTTTTGTCAGTGTTATTCAATTTCCTTTTGTTTTATGTTTTGATAGGTAAAAAGCAACTACATAAGAAAAAGTGAAAGTGAGAAATTGAATCAAATTTCACTTTGAAAATGTTATGACATATGGGCTTCAGGTCATACTTAAAGTTTTGTTGTTTGAGTCCAATGCATTTACAAAAAAGGCATTTTGACACAAAGTGGGATATGGTTTTGTCGGAGAGGTTAATTTCCATCAATTGAGTTTGGGGTTGAGTGTCTTGGCACACTGATAACAACTTACCTCATTTCTGGAAAAAGATAAATGTCTTATTATGTGCACGGTAGATAGTTTGGTTTCAGTGTGAAGCTTTGAAACAGGATATGTTATAATCAAAATACAAATGCTCTAGGTTGATTTAATAGGGAGGGTAGAGGACTGACAATTTTGATTTACAAATTGGTTGTTGTCAATTAGTCACTAGCTACATGTGCTAAGATGGTGAGCAATTTACTTGCAAATTCAAAATTACAGTGCTAGAATAGTGCATTTAGGTCATCTGATTCTTTTATTGTAGGTTTGGTAATTGTCCAATTGTATTTGGTCTTGAAGCTGATCAATTTTCTGGTTGTTGTCAGTTCATACATTGAAGAATCTAATCTCTCAGGATGAGACCCCGAAAGCGGGCAAAACTCCACGGAAGTGTAAGTATTTGCTTCTCATTTAGTCTTTGATTCCTTTTCTTCCCGAATGTTCACAAATATCTGTATTTTACATCCTTAAGGTGGATAGTCTGACATGAAGTGCTTATATATAATCATGCAGCTTCTCGCTTGTTTTCCCTGTTGTCACCATTCAGAAGCAAGACTAGTGAAAAGAAGTTGACAGCTTTATGATGAAGGTGAAGCGTAAAGCTTGTCTTCTTTTCTGTGGATCATGAATTTTTTTAATCCTTATTTGAATGTGAAAAAATAGGTACCATTGAGAATTTTTGTTGTAAAAAATTTCTTTCAGCGGCCACATTGGTTAGTTAATGTTCTTGAGCTGAATTGGTTCGTAGCAAAATTTCCACATGATTATAAGAACATTTTTCCCCTTTTTTTTTTTTTTTGTATCCATAGATATCTACCATTGATTATGAAGAAATCTCTAGAATAAAATCATTTTATTCTTCTAAATATTTTTTTATTACAATATTAGAATTGTATGAAAATATATAGGCTAAAGACCTAATATTCTCAGCTTTAAAACTCAAGATTTTCATGCATTAAAACAGTTAATCAAAAGAGAAATTTACTCTCAATACATAATAGAAAAATATCCAATAGATTTGGTATAATTACCTAAATCACGTTTTATTCTAAAAATAAGAAAATTAATTAAAATAAATAAAGTTAAATAGTCAAGTAATAATGAAGATTAAACTTTTACATTTTCTCTCAAGTTAGGTGGTAGATGTTAATCATGTCAAGCTTAGACTTATAATTTTCGAAGTTGTTTTAAGAGAGAGCGTTAGTGAGTATGTCTACAGTTTGAAAGCATGTTGGAGTATAAATTAATTTAACAATTTCTTCCTTTATCTTCTCTTTGATGAAGTGACGATCAATCTTTACATGTTTAGTCCTATCATGATGAACAGGATTCTTTGCTATACTTATGGCAGCTTTGTTGTCGCAGAATATTTTCATGAATTCTTCAACAAAGACCTTTAACTCCCTTAGCAACATTTTTAGCCAAATTCTCTCACATATGCCATGAAACATAGCTCTAAACTCAGCTTTTATGTTACTTCTAGCCACCACAAATTGTTTCTTGCTTCGCTAAGTAACCAAATTTTTTCACATATAGGTATAATAACTAGTAGTTGATCTTCAATCAGTAATAGATCCAACCCAATTAGCATCAATGTAAATTTTAACATTTCAATGTGATATCTTCCTAAAAAATAACCTTTTGCCACGACTCTTTTTTAGGTATTGTAAGATTCTATACACAGTCTTCAAGTATTCCTCGGTTGGGTTATTTATAAATCTATTTACCATGCTAATCAAAAAACCAATATCTGGTCTTGTATGAGAAAAGTATATGAGTTTCTTAACAAGTCTTTGATATCTGCCCTTATCTATTGGTAGACTTCTTTATTCCATTCCTACCTTATTCATTGTGTTTATACGGGTGTCAACAAGTTTGCATCCAAGCATTTCAGTGTCCTCTAGTAAATATAAGACATACTTACGTTGTGAAACAGAGATGCCATTCTTTAAGCGAGCTACAACCATGCCAAGAAAATATTTAAGGTGTTCCAAATCTTCGATTTCAAATTCTTTGGCTAGGAGGTTCTTTAGATTGCTAATTTCTTCCATATAGTCTTTAGTAAAAATAATGTCATCCATATAGACAATAAGAATGGCTATTTTTCCTTAAGGTGAATATTTGACAAACATGGTATGATCGATCTAGCACTAATGTGGATGGAAGTATTAATAGATTGAAAGCTTGTCTTATTGCAAAAAGATTTGCTCAATCTTATGGTGTTGACTATGAGGAGACGTTTGCTCCCATTGCTAAACTTAATTCGATCTGTGTGTTATTATCATTAGCAACAAATCTAGATTGACCACTTCACCAACTAAATGTCAAAAATACATTTCTTAGCGGCAACCTAGAAGAAGAAGTTTACATGAAAATCTCTCTAAGATTCAAAAGCTAAGACAATTCTAACAAGGTATGTTTGATAGACTAACAAAAATGGTAAAAAAGAAAAAATCTATTTGCACCCAATTGGATTTTTCTTTTTGGATAATTCTAAAATCTCTTATGTTTTGTTCTTTTCTAGGGCCCTGATTTTTTCTAAAATAGTCATCTTCCATTTTGGTTGCATTAGTGCTTCATGAACATTATTGGGAATCTACATATTATTTAGTGTGGTAACAAAAGCTCGATAGTTGGTGATAAACCTTCATAAGAAACCACATTACATATTAGGTGTTGAGTACATGATCTCACACATTTCCTTAAAACAATCAGTTGATCAAGATCATCAAAAGATTCAATTAAATCAGATTCAGTAAGAGTATTACCCATGTTGGTTTCAAGTATCTTTGGAATCGGTTCAGATTCTTGGCTTTGTTTTAAAAGTGTATGTTCTTTTAGATCCTTTTGAGTTTTATGTCTTTTTGAATAAACAATCAATTCTTTCTTTGTTTTCCCTTATGTGGACTTCGGGCTTTAGGGATTTGGTTAGATGTTTTGGACTTAAAAGGGAATTGGATGAGTGTTTGGTGGTTCGATAATAAGATCTTCCCAAAGCTGATATTCCTATGTAATTGGATGCTCCTTTAAATGACAGTTTTAGGAAAGTAAGGTTGATTTTCAAAAAGCTAACACTAATGGAATGGGAGAATTTTTTAGTAACACTTGTATCCTTTTTTACTCGGAGAGTATCTGAGAAATATGCATTTGATGGCTTTGGGATCTAATTTGCTTTGATTTTGTTGACTGGTAAGAACAAATGCAATGCATCAAACACTTTAATGGAATAGACAAAATGATTCGAAAGTGACGATAGGAACCAAGAAATGATTGGCAAGGGCTTTGAAATTTCAGGACTTAAGAAGGCATTCTATTTATAAAATATGTAGCGGTAAAAACAGCCTCACCCTAAAAATACTTAGGTACATAAGTAGCCATCATGAGAGATCTTGCAATTTTCAACAAATGTTGATTCTTTCTTTCAGCAACGTCATTTTGCTGAGAAGTATCGATACATGAGTTTTGATGAATTATATCATGCTTCATTAGATATGATCCAAGGATTAAATTGTAATATTCTCTCCCATTGTCGATTCTCAACACTTAGATTTTGGTTTGAATTGAGTTTGGATCATATTGTTGAAGTTTTGGAATAGTTGACCCACTTCTAATTTTTCCTTCATAAGAAAAATCCAAGTAACCCTAGTGTGATCATCAATAAATATGACAAGCATCTAGAATTAGTAATGTTATTTACTTTGAAGGGACCCCAAATATAATTGTATATCATTAAAAAATAATGGGATGATTTGTAAGGTTGATTAAGGTACGTGGTACGGGTTTGTTTGGATAGTTGACAAATTTCACACAAAAAGTCATTGGGATTTTTATTGAATAATTAGGGAAACAATCTTTTGAGATACAAAAAATTTAAATGACCTAACCGATAATGCCATAACATGATAGTACTATCTTTATCATTACTGAAGGATGAAGCCACACAAGAGGTCTTTTATTATTGTCTTCAGAATCGTTAGCTCTTAGGATATATAGTCTTGCACATATCTTAGTATTATCAATCATCTTTTCCGAGTTCAAATCTTGAAATTCACACATATTTGAAAAAAATTTAATAACACACTTAAGATCTCTTATAAGTTTGCTTATAAACAATAAATTACAATTTAGATTTAAGACAAACATAACAGAATCAAGTGCTATTACTTTAGAAACAATAACAGAACATGTACCAACCACTTTTGAAAGTGACCCATCAGCAATTCAAATTGTGAAGTTTTCATGACATGGTTGTATTTACTAAATACAAATGCATCTCCAATTATATGTATATGGTTTGAAGCTCTTAAATCTACAATCCATGAATTTGATTTTTTTAGTTTTATACTCAAGGTACTTAAAAAATTACATTTTTATGCTAAAGAACCTATTCCAATATTGCTAGCTTTGAGGTTAAAGGTAACCTCTGACACCGAGCTCTCCCTTCTGCTGGTCATGCAAGATTCTGAGTGAAAATTTTCAAAGGTATAGATCGTACTCTGATACCATGAAAAAATCTCTAGAATAAAACTATTTTATTCTTCAATGTTTTCTTATTACAATACTAAAATTACATGAAAATATATAAGTTAAAGATTGAATATTCTCAGCCTGAAAATCTAAGATTTTCATGCATTAAAATAGCTAATCAAAAGAGAAATTTACTCTCCGCACGTAATAAGAAAATATCTAATGGATTGAGTATAATTACCCAAATCATTCTTCATTCTAAAAATAAGAAATTTTAACTAAAATAAATAAAGTCAACTAATCAAATAATAATGAAGATTACATTTCCACCTCTTACTATAAATGATAGAATTCCTTTTAATTCTTGAGTCTCATTGTGTTTCATTGGGATTGAGAGTTTCACTGGTTGCCTTATGTATTATTGGTGTAGAACAGTTTAAGTCTCTTTTATATTAGGTTCACTTGGGAGGTCTATCTGTTGGGGATTATTCTGTTTGATAAGAAAAAGAATTTATTTCATCTGCTGCTCATTATGAGATTGTTGCCATTTCCATCTTATTACCATGCGAGATCAACGCATAAAAAAATTATTTTCTGAAAGTTCAGAAAGAAAAAAACACCTTTCACTTGCAATTCGGGATTCATTGATGCATAAATGGACACCCAACTGTAGATGAAAACACATAGTACTAATCAAAACGGATGATGGCACAAGATATATTGCTCTTGCTCATTCTTGATAAAGCCTCCTTTGTTAGGCACTCAGCAGCTTCTTGTGGATCCTCCAGGTGCCTGATGAGGTTCACTGCTTCTTGATTTTTCATCACCTGGAACAAATGGATGGCAGCAAATTTATAGTTACCTGTTAATTATTCAAAGTAGAATGAAGAACAGTACGGATTATACGTGTTAATAGAGCTTGGAAAAAAATGCTTACCTCCCAGATTCCAGTGCTTGCTACGATGATGAATTCAGTCTCAGTATCGACCTTCTCAGCCCCAACAAGAAGTTCTGAGCTTTTGGGGTGCCTTATCGCTGCTGCATTACTTGAGTCGCATACTAAAATCCGTACTTTAGGCACAAATATGGCACTCAGCATCAGATAATGTCATTCACAAAATGTTTTAAGAATCAAAATCACATTTTTCAGCAGAAGTGGATCAAGGATCCGAGGAAGACAACTAGCAGAAATTGGATTTGTTTCATTGTAAAATGTCTTCTGCAAAATCTAGATATAATGTGCTGGATATGTCTTTCCATTTTCAAGCTTTATGCCACTTTAGGCAATGAAGATTAACTTAATTGGTGCTTCTATATTTGCTTAGACACATTTTATAGTTT